AAGGGTGGGCAAAGAAGGAAGTGAGAAATTTTGTCTACACCTGAAAGCTGAAGTGAGACAGAGAGCAGTCTGAACTGATGCAAATAATCTGTCACAGGTGATGTGAAGGTCAGGTATAAAGCAATGGACCCAAAAGTAGATAGGACAAGGGAGTGCAATAAGGATGTCACAGCAGGGAAAGAACAGGAGGTGAGAGGGTTAAAGGCAAGGAGGGCAGAAGACTATACTCACAGAACATATTGAGACAGAGTACCTTTCTGATGGTGAGATACAGAACAGATGTAGTTTGTATGAATTTCTTGTTTGTTTTATCACCCAGGATTTTTTGACTTTCTTTTTTTTTACTGGATCCTTTACTGAATGAAAATCAGTTTAGTCATTTCAGGAGAAGCTTGAAATACCTTTGTCTTTTTTGCACTGGTCGGAGTGTTGGAAGAAAGCTTTTGAAACCGCAAGATGCCTAGAAGACAAAGGAGTTTAAGTTACAGAGAAAGACAAAGAAAGCCAACAGTGACTGGGACCACTGGTTTCTGAAGTGTACATATGTGTGTAAGAAGATTATTTGTTTTCCAACAAAATGAACATAAAACTCAGTTTCATGCAGGAAGATCTGTATTACCCCATTACTAGCTGGTGCTGTACAGTCACATTAGCCTGCTATTGCTCTGATGCTTTCTTATGGTCAAACAGAGCCAAGTAGGATGCTGTGTTAACACATCTTGGTTGTTTCTGGTATTTGGATGAGTTTGTCTTTCTGAGATATTTGTAGAGGGCTCTGTGTTGTGCTTTGTGCAGGCACTAACTCTGCAGTTCAAAAATAAAAATGCTGTAGAAAGAGAGAGAATAGAAAAAAAGTGATCTGAGCTGATCTCTGCAATGTTACAGAGTACATCAGTGGCAGAGCAAAAATGTTGAATGTGGAAATGAACAAATAAATTGCAAGACTGCTGTTTCACATCTATAACAAAGTCTGTCAGCTCAGGATTTCTCATCAATCACCCGCAATACCTTGTTTACCAAAGCAAAATTGACAGTTCATGCGGAAGTGAACACAGGCTATTTGGTCAGCCTGGTCATGTTACCCTTCTCCTCCCAGCTGTGGAGTGTGATGTCCCTGTTTTCTTCCAGGAACTTCACAAGAACACTTGTGTTACACCTGCTAAAACTGACCATGATCACATCATAAATGCTGTCAGTGTGCTAACCTGGTCTATAGAGAAATACAGTACAAACAAGGGTCTGTTTACAATATCTACTTAACTTTAAAAGGAGAAGTACTTTTCCTTAGCCCTTTAATTCTTTAATCTTTCAGACCAGAGTCTGGGTGATTACTATGAACTTCTACATATGTTTGACTTCTGCTTTAAACCTGGAGAAGAGCTGGTGTGCTTGGAAGCTTGTTTAGATTTTCCAGCACTTCCGATTATTCTAATGGAAGATACGTTCTTGGTCTACAGAACTCCCCTCACTTGCTGCTGTGAAGTGTCATTACGTAAATGCTAAATGTGTTTACTGTTCTTAATCGTTCATTTGCTGGAACACAAACATTTTAATAGCCGAAACAATGTTTCCAGGAACAAGTTTTTCATGATTTCTTAGACTATAAGGTCCTTGAATCAGTGACTGTGCCTGGTTGTGTTTACTGGAGAACATAAAGAAGATTCATCTGGCGTGGGATCCTTTATTATCCTTGCATTGGCAGCAATCGCAGAACCATAGAATGGATTGTGTTGGAAGGAACCTTTAAAGATTACCTAGTTGAAACCCCCCATGCAATAAGCAGGAACAGTCATAGCAAGGCTAGTAACCAAAGGTGGTTCCAGAGGGTCTTGCACTAAGGTCTTAAGCTAAGATGCTCCTTTTATTTAAGAAAAGCACTATAATCTTTGAGATACACAGATGAAATGAATAGAATTCACAATTCACATTATTCAGATGTGAGTTTCAATTATTATTAATCAGTAGATTGTAAAATATTCTGCGATTTCCATGTTCCTTTGCTTACAAAACTTCTTGGAAACTTTTTGAAATTATCAATGTTGCACGAGTTGTCACTATCTGAGGTAAAATCTGTCCTAACACTTCTGACCAGACTGGTATCATCCTCCCTCACCAATTCACTGTGGTTCACACCGTGAGTTCACTGAAAATAAGATCCAGTAGCCATAACAATAAACACTTGCCACAGAGATCTACGGAAAGCACAGCTACTTAAAAGAAATATCCCAGCTTTTTTCTCAAGAGCAACATGGTTTAAGTATATAGCAGAGCTTGTTGTTCTCCTATTGCCACTGCTTTTACCTCCTGAGAGCATCCTTATGACATATAGCTCTCTTCGGATGACTACCTCTTCAGTTCTGTCTGTGGAACCAAAAAAAAAAAGTCTATACTTCAAGTTGAAAACCATCTTGTGGCCAGGAGCATACAGCTTGTGCAGTTTGAAATGTGAATGCAGAGCCTAAATTTTCTGAAGGAACAAGAAATGTCTTTCTTCCCTCTTACCAGAAGAATTTTGGGTAACTGCTTGAGATTTTCATAGAATCATAGAATCATAGAATGTCCTAGGCTTTTTATGTGTACTGTTGCATTCCATTGGCAAAAAATCACTTTTTTCTGGAGCTGAGCATTATAATCCCTGTGAGTATGTGAGCTGAGACCAGGAGTAAAGTCACAGACATAATTAACAGAATCAAAAGGAGGAAAATTATACATAACGTTGTTTTGACCTTTGGCGAATTGTAGTAATTTATTATCGTTGACCTCTGGATTTCACTCAGCATTCGCTAAGAAAACTTATCAGAATATGTTCCTTTTGGGCCAAAGAAAGTCAAGTATGGGTTTCAACTTAGTATTTTCAGGAAAGTAAAAAGCTGTATAAAAAGAGATTATTATATTCCTCCCTTTTCCCATTCATATTGTTGTGCCTTTGTTTTCTATGTTCCCATTCAAAGTTTTAGACCTGGGCCCTACATCTTCACTGGAACTATTTCCACTCTTAAAAAGACATGATAGTTTTTATATGTCTGCTTTTATGGTTTTCATCACCTCGAGCCTCAAAAATTTATTCAGATTCATACTCACACAGCACTGTGTGAAAACTTACTTCTTTTTCTGCAGGTTCATCTGGGAAATTAATATACTGACAGGATTTGAATTGCTGTTGAAATGTCATGTGACTTCCTCATGTTCTCAGATGTGAATTTCAATTTCTTGCTTGGCTGCCAGAACCAATAAGTGCTGATTTTTATGGTGCAGTACTCCTCTATTATATCCCTATGATGTTGTAACAGACAGATAATGAATATGCTTTAGAAATGGCCTTTGCTTATAGGAAAAAAAAGACAGTGCTATGCACAAACTTGTTAGGATAGTTGTGTACAACGACTACTGCATAGGAGGACATGCTATATGTTTTACAAAAGGTAAGGAGAAAATGAGAGCTGTTCTGTAGCAGCACGAATGGTTGGTACTGCAAGCTCAGAAGAAATTATCTTCCAGATGCTGGTGGACACCTTCTTTCTGGAAGTGCGTCAAGATGCCTGGCTGAGCCATATAGTTGCATAGGTAAACTGCACTGAGGCTGGGCAACAGGTTGACGTCCACTAGCAAGATCATGGAAATGCAGAAGGAAGGCTTCTAATACAGACTCTTGCTGATAGATGCTTGATCCTTCTAAAGCAGCTCCTTGATGACCTCTACAAGCATTCCATAACTGCTTTCAGTTTCACAAGTGAAAACATTTCCCTATTTGAGTTCTATTTATTTATGGCATGTGTCATGCTCTTCTCAAGCCAATTCATCTGGTCAGGCAACATTTACTCTTACTTGATATTTAATAATTATGATTGCTATCTGCTGGGGCTTTGGTTATATATCCCCATATTTTTGTTCTATCCTTTTACTCTCAGCAATATATATATTTTAAAAAGTACTATGCAAGATACATGCTCTGCATTCTCTGTGTACTCAAAGCTATTAAAAGGGAATAGATCGCCTCAAACCTCCCGTATGAGGCTAATCCAGACATCTAAACTTTGATATGAAGCACTGTTCCACTCTTCTTTCAGTTCTTCCCTCATGTTCATCTGCTTCTAGGTAAGCTGTATGGAGAAGTGAGCATAGTAGGAGATTGAGGATGGTAAATTTCTTTATAGTATTAACTGTAACACACTGACAGCTACATAATGAGTGAAATTTAACTCAGCTATCAGGGTGGTATAGGATCTTTGTTTCTGCAACCAAAAAATGAAGATACTGATGCTGATATTGCTTATTAGCTCCTTTCTCATGCAGCTAAAATAATTACTATGTATCACACATTAACTGGTGGCAACTCAGTCCTCTGATAAAGGTAATTACATTTCATTTACACATAATTAGTCTGCTTACTGTAGTTTGCACATCCACGTTTATGGTGACATGAAGATCACCTTTAGCTGTGAGATCAAAAGATTAAGGTCTAAATTTCCAGGAGAAGTCCTCTGATTTTGGCTGTTAACTTTGCTAAAGCTTGAGCCTGATTTTCAGAGGTACTGAGAGTTCAAAGGTGGAAGAAATCAGAGAAATGCAGCACCTGAGAAAATCAGAGCCAGAATGTTTCAAGCTGAGCCACAAATAAATGGGGAAGTAAAATAAATCCTCTCCAGTAAGACTAGTTCTGGGGAAGTCTAAAATTGCCCCTTCTCTTCTTTACTTCCTTATGCTTATTTCTGCATCTCCCTCACTGATTTTTTAGATTATACTGTATCTTAGTACACTTTATTCAAAGTAATTCTTCCTTATTTTCTATTATCCCATTAGTTTTGTTGTTGATGATGTCTCTGTTTTGGGGTTGGTTTTTTTTTAGCTTTCTAGTTATGTTGATCTGTATACAAATGTATGAACAACAGTTTGCTTATTACCATGATGGGTTTTGAAGGCTATAATCCGCATCAGTAGGAGAAGTTAATTGTTGCAAGTTCTGATGCAGTCCTACGTTTGTTTCAGATCCACCTGAGAAAATGTTTCAGATCCTCACAATGCTGTTGGTGGAAATACAGCTTTCCGTGGTCTCAGGTAAGACAGAAACTGGCTTTCAACTTCACCAGCAGGACCGATGAGGCAAAAGCCGCTACGTCCCCAGTACACAGGCTTCAGTACCCTGAGCCATACTTGTATGAATAGCCGGTGGCATCTGAAGTGTCTGATTTGCAACGTCTTACAGAAGGCACTGTGTGCTAACTGGGCAGGTGGCAGATCGCCATCACTTTCCACAGTCAGGCTTCTTTAAAGGATAGTGTTCTGACAGCTGAAGTGCCCAGCATCAGCAGGCATGGCTGTGAGAGGAAGGACGACCAAAGCGACCTAAGCCAATTGTCAAGTGGAACAACCCCAGAGTGAGCCAGAGTAAAGTAAACCCACATGTATTGCCCTGTAGCCAAGCAGCTCTTTTGAATGTCACTATCAGCACTACCAAGTGCTTCTGAATAAAATCCATCAATATATGGTACATTCAACACAGAAAGTAGTGATAAAGCATATAGAAAAATGTATCACAAATAACTCTCCTTTATCAAGTACACTTTAAAATGATAAACTATTCATAATTAAATGAATTTCAGGTTTAGTGAATGGCTAACAAGATTTTTTTCATGTATTTTCTGTAATACTGTTGCATGTACCTGAGAAGATGCGTAGGATCAAACGATACTCACCTGGTCCCAGTCTTGTTGAAGACTGTAATTGGTGCACAGCAATTCTGCCAAGTTACACATCCTTATCCAGTGCAACTCTGTTTCACACGAATTATACTCAATTTTCTCACTGTAAAGGATACAGAAATTATATTTACTATTTCCACAATTAACTGTTGCTTTTACTAGAATCTCAGGACATAAGTGGTACAATCACAATTTCACAGAAGCATTCCCTGTGTAATCACTGACTCAGTCTTAATGTGAAATAAAAAACTTACTTATTTTGTCCTTGTCTTTCAGACTGTAATCAATGCAGAATACAGATGATTTTGCTATATAGACTATAGATGATTTGCTATAAATACTACTGACATAGTAGAACGGTTAATGTGAGTAGGAACAAAAAAATGCTATAAACTTTTAGTCAAACCACTAGCCATATGCCTGACTACATGACACCTACTGCCCAAATTTAAAGAAAATCAACATATGACGCTGTCTCCTTTTCTTGCTGTAGCTTTATTTACAGTTGAAGTTCCTCAACAGCTGTACGTGGTGGAATATGGGAACAACGTGACAATGGAATGCAGATTCCCTGTGAACGGCTCGTTAAACCTAGAACTCCTGACAGTTGTTTGGGAGCAAAAAAGACAGGGGCAGTTGAAATCAAAAGAGGTGTACACACTTCGCAATGGGAAGGCACTCCCTCCATCTCAAGATCATGATTACATAGGAAGAGCAGCACTTCTGCACAGTGAACTGAAATTGGGACGAGCTGTCCTTCAGATCACCAGAGTGAAGATTACAGATGCAGGATCATACCTTTGTCTCATTGAATACCAAGGCGTGGACTACAAGTACATTACTTTGGAAGTAAAAGGTTAGTGGGTGAATTGAATGTAGGTATATATTCCTTGGGATATCTCTACTAAATTCCTACAAGTGTGGAGGAATTTGTTGCTAATTCTCTCACCCAGACTCTGTGCATAGCTCCCAGGTGAACCAAAGCGGTTGTCTTAGCACTGCTTAGTCTTCAGTTCAATGGCCAGTTAAGCTTCTCTCGGAGCAGCCTGCACCGTAGAGGGAGAATGACTGGTCATCCTCTGTCCTTCATCCTTCCTCCTTCTTGCCACATGCTCTTCCCCAGTGCTCCTACCCTCTCATCTGACCTCCTGCCGTGTTGGGTTGCACTCTGGCAAGTTTCTCAGAGGTGTTTTTATTTACTTAAAAGCCCTGTTGTAGCTATCCAAGTGGCTGGGAATTCCCCAAGTGAATGTGGCTCCCACAGTGAGATTTTCTACATGTGATTTTCTGTGTTCATCAAAGCCAAATGAAAGTTAGTAATATAGGCGTACATTACTGGCAGCATGGTAGACCTCTGAAAGGCCTTTCAAAGGCCTCTGTTTCCCATTAACAGAAGTATCTCCATGTGATACAAGGCAGTATTAATTTCCCATCTAGATGGTTAAAGAGTGAGTTTTGTCAAAATTAAAATAGGATACAGCCATTTTTAAGATCCATATTGGCTCCTCTGAACTGTCCTCTCAGAAACTCTCAATTAATTTTGTTCTAACACAGTGAAAATATAACACAGGTTTTTTATAAGCTATGGTAAAATAAAACATAAACCCAAAACTTATTCAGCAAGTGGCATATTTGAAAAATCAAAATTCAGTCCCATGAGACTTCACTTGTTTCCTCTGTATTGATAAATTAGGAATTCAGTGTTAACTGCTTCCTTGTGTAAAGTAATGCAGGAAGTTCTGTCACTGTATGTGTGAGAAGGATTGGATAAAGAATATTGAATTGTTCTACAAACATCCTCCATCATTTCAAGTAATTGTACCTCAGATATAACCATAGACAAAATATGTCAATAAAGTGAAGGAGGGAAAGGGAATTGGGAGAATTACTATTGCTGCATAAAGTCATTTCATTCAACTTCTTTTTATGCAGCATCCTACAAGAGAATAAACACTCAAGTAATAAGAATACCAGCTGAAGACAAATTTGTTTTTATCTGTCAGTCAGAAGGCTTTCCTCTGGCAGAGGTTTTCTGGCGAAATGAGAAGAACTTCAATCTCAGTGGATCTGCAAATACCACCTATACACTGACTGCAGACAGCCTGTACAATGTCACCAGCACCCTGATGTTCAAACCAAATATGAGTGAGAACTACAGCTGTGTGTTCTGGAATAAAGAACTGAGCAGAGAGACTTCAGCTCACATTTCCACTCTAGGTTTGTATCACCTTGAACTTGCACAAGACAGAGAACATGTGTACATACATCGTGGCCTATGAAACATCACTGGAATAAAGGTCTAAAATCAGTGTAATATTGATGCTCTGGAAAAGAAAGTCAGTATTACGTACAATTTTGAAGCTACAGCCAGCTCACACTTCAACAAGCCACTCTGTCATTTTTCTGCCTATTTTAGTTTTAGGGTAGCTCACGTTATTTGGCTGCCAGTACAGACAAAATTCTTTAATTTGCATGGGTGACTTCCCTGATACAGACTACTAATTAATTGTTCTTCAAATGGGATACGGAAAAATCGCTGTACTGCTCACTAAAATGCCATAAAATTGAAAGATTTGACTCATTTTTTTGGTAAAGCTTTTCACAATAATATCATAGAACAAAGTATTCATTAAATAAGTGTTAAACACTATGTTGATAAATTTTAAGAGGCATTTCTTCAGTCAGAGCAAAACTTCGGAATATCAGAACTGATAACTTCATAAAGGAGGTTGCATCTGGAATATTGTGTCCAGTTCTGGGCCTCTCGGTTCAAGAAGGACAAGGAACTGCTGGAGAGAGTCCAGCACAGAGCCACAAAGATGATGAAGGGAGTGGAACATCTCCCTGATGAGGAAAGGCTGAAGGAGCTGGGTCTCTTTAGCTTGGAGAAGAGGAGGCTGAGGGGTGACTTCATTAATGTTTATAAACATGGCAAGGGAGAGTGTCATAAGGACAGAGCCAGGCTCTTCTCAGTGATGTCCAATGAGAGGACAAGGGACAATGGATACAAACTGGAGCATAGGAGGTTCCACAAAAACATCAGGAAAAACTTTTTAACTGTGAGGGTGACAGAGCCCTGGCACAGGCTGCCCAGGGAGGTTGTGGAGTCTCCTTCTCTGGAGACATTCAAACCCCGCCTGGACGCGTTCCTGTGTGATCTACTGTAGGTGATCCTGCTCTGGCAGGGGGGCTGGACTAGATGATCCTTTAAGGTCCCTTCCAACCCCTAAGATTCTGTAATTCGGTGATTCAGTGATTCGCTGATTCCATGACTCTGTGATGCCTATTGTGTAAGTTGTTAATTTATTTTCTTTTCATGTTTCTAACAGCTTTAATGAGCAGACAGCATAGTGGACAAAAATCCCTGATCTTATTTATTGTCCCCACATGTGTGACGGTAGCTGTCCTTTCCTCTGCATTAATAATCTTTCAAAAGAGAAAATCATCCAAGGATGGGCATCCCAAAAAAGGTACATTTTTCTTTAGGTAGTGGATTTTTTCACTTTTTCATAATTTTTCCTGTGAATGACTGGAAATTTTATTAAGTTTAGGCACATTTGTGTGACTTTGGTCATACTATTTCTGGATGTGCTCTGTTCTAAAATGTTCTTGGATCATTTGAGTTGGGTTTTATTTTCCTCTGTGAGACAAGGTATATGGAAAGATACATTTTTTTATCTGAACAGCTATTATTCTCTAAAGAACACAAAGAAGCTTTGTCTTGGAGGCTGTAAAAACAAAGTCTGAATGGTGTTTTTCTTTATGGCTACAAAGACATTGTAGCTACAGTATATGACACAGAACTTTTATTTTTGATGTCTGTTAAGCCAGGTTAACTAAAACGGTATGCTCTAATAGACGACTATGAATAGCGTTTCCTTCCTTGTTTGCAAGTGCAATAGTGGAAAAGGAATAAAGGAAACAGGATATTACTCTAGTATTTTCCTGCATATTAATACATTCCAGTAAACTCAGACAAATATGTTTACTGTAATGAAGCAAAAGTCTTGTTATTAAGGACTTCAGAATTTGGTGCAAAGTTTGTAAAAGGAGCGTAGAGAAGTTTGCAGATTTTATATGACTCAATAATAAAATTAATCTAGAAGTTTGTTGAATTATTTTGTTTCTTTCAAATCTAGAAATGTTTAAGCTAAATTTGTATATATTTACTTCAACAGACAGGAAAAGAAAATTGAACCCTAACCTGAAAGATGAGAACAGTAAGTCACAGGGTTTTCTATATTTATGCTTGCAGCTTTTTATTTCTTATAGCTAACATCTTTCCGAATCTGTAGATGGCCACTTAAACAATGTTACAGAAAAAATAGAAGCTAGTTTTCAATTTAAACTCAACTTTTCTTCAATTTTCTGAAAATGCAGTATCTAACATTATGGCTTTCTCACAGGCAATGTCAAAATTTATACATTTGTTCCCTTTCACTGAGATCCAGATAGCTTACATATATCACCCAATATACACCTCTGTATACTAACTGCATATCTAGTAGCCTTGGCTGAGTACACACAGAAAGCTGATTATCTTGGAATGTATCAAGATTTTTGTAGTAACAGTCCATTATACTTTTGGCTCAGAACTCAGAACAACAAATGGAATGATACCTTATTAATCTGGATTATTAGATCATCCAGTGAGCCGCTTCTCATCTTCCAGCTACGTGACTTTCCCAGATATCTGGGAATTTTTACCTTGCATACGGAAGGTAATGCCTATCAGGATGCATACGTTTGTCCTGTAATAAACGGAAAAAAAGAAAAAAAGAAACTGCCATAGAAAACTATAAAGCAATAGGATAAGAAAGCTCTAAATCACCTACTTATCTATATGTTTTGTTACTTAGAAATAAAAATCTGATGGGTTAGTGTACTGCCAGGAGAGAGGCTGTGGCCAGCGTTAGGTATGGTGATACTGAGTTCAGCTGTAACTCCTTGATATCCAAGCAGACCCTAACACAGCCTATAAAGGCCAATCCTGAACCTGCCTAATACACCCCACGAATGTGAACGACTTTCTCCCAAGAAGTGAAGTTGGAGGAAAACTGTGATGCAGCTAACAGAGTGGCCTGAAGACACAATACATGGCAGTTTCCAGACACATGGGCAGCTTTCCGCTTTTCCAAGGACAGGATTTACTTAAGAAGCCATCCATGTTTCAGACTGCTAAAGAAAAAGAATCATCAAGAACTCACTAGTCTAAAAAACAACTTCTGCAGAAAACTAGGGATTGGGCAGAAGGGGATGAATTCTCTAATTCCTATATTACCTCAGACTGTAATGCTTGCATTTTACCCACAGTTGTCCAACCTACTGCCATCAGTAGATATTAGAGTCAATAATGACACTTTAAGGAAAACACTATTACCTTTCAGCAATCAGCACTCGCTGTAGTCAAAGGCCCCTTCTTGTTTTGCACGCAATGGTGTGAAACTTGAGTGGAATTATGCCACGTGCAAATGAAAAAAAGCTCAAGGCAAACAGCAGTCTGGAGGACAGTGTCAGTACACATCCAGACATAATTCCAGTGCATGTTGTCTGCGCACAGTGTGGCTTCCCATGGCTTTTTGTATTACTGTTGTAGAATTTTTTCACTTTCTAGGCCCCAGTCTCCTTCTGTGCACTTACTAAAATGAAGAAATTAAAGGAGACATAGCTGCTTTTTGTGGTTTTACTTCTTCATTTTAATGACTGAAAATCTTTGTGCAATGTGCAGTAAGTCATATGACAAACGCTTATATTTCTCAGCACCATATATTTTTAAGAAGCACTGGAAAGAACCTTTTTTCCATGATGAGTATGTAGCTGAAGCATAAAAGCCACAGATACATTACCAGAGAACCCTGGAAATGACCCACATGGCCCTGGTTACAGGAATAAGGATTGTTATTATCTTAACTTACAGCTCAAGCTGTATCAGCACTGAAGATGTAGAACATTCAGCCTCATCACTGAAGTCCCAGTTCTGCAAACTTTTACTCTGCTGCACAGATTTTACTGACGAGCATTCTCGTGGATGCTATCTAACCACATTTCACTTTTGTTATTTCATTTATATGGCTGATAGTCAGTGATAGCTTTGATGTCACAGGAAATTAAAAATTTGGACCACAGATAAGAAAGAGAGGGGAGAGAAATGATTCTTCCCTCTGAAAAGGTTGCAACAAGATGTCTTTGTAATTAATGGAAACTCTGAGGACATCGCAACTCCAGCAGGGCCCAGAAAAGCTTGCACACAGTGAAGTTAAGGCTTTCACTCTTTACCTCTCAGTTGTTAAAATCAGGCTATTTGTTTGCTTCAATTATTGCAGTTTTATAACGTAACACTATCCCATTTTCTTTCTTTAAGGAGATGATTTAAACTCTCAAACTGAGGCCTTATACTTGTCAACTATCACTGCTTCAAGAGACAGTGGGAGCGTGGGTCTCTGAAAACTCTTCATCTCACCTGCCATAATTTGCACTTTTTCTATCTGTTTTTGCGGACTTCAGAACAAAGTTACAGCACTTTAGCTTTGAGATGAACTGTGAACTTATGGGGATTTATTGGCACTGCAGCAATAGAAAGCTATGACTCTTCAGACGCCATAACTTGAAGTTACTGAGAATTTTGCTATCATGAAATGTGGTTTACCACTATGAAGAGGTTATCTGAGTGCCTTTGACACACCTTACCTTTGGACTTATGGTTGCTCAAGGAATTTTTGGTTAAGAATGCTTTTATTAGCTGTTCCATTCTCAGGAACAGTGCTTAGATTCAAACATCTTGTGGAAATTTGAATAAATGCTGTACATGCTATCTTATGTCTCAACAGTCATTTTTTTCAGGTGGAGACATCATTACATGCCTATATCTCATTTCCAAATTTTCCAGCATGCTAAACTGGAAATTACCACAAGTACACACCAGCATGGCAATATATGAAAGATATTTCGTATCACAAAAGCAGCAAGAGGTTGAAGTTAAATCAAAGGACTGACAAAAAAAATAATCCCAACATAACAGTAAATCAGCATTATGTCACAGAAGAGAATTTTAATCCACAGCCTACGTAAAACCCCCTAAGTAAGTCAGTAACTGGGCATCACATGAACTGTGATGTTGTGCTACATAACAGTAAGAAGTTTTACACTTGAACTGATTATTCAACAGAATTTTCCCTAGGAGGAATTAGGAAACAAAAGTGAAAATGAAGCTCAGTCAGATTTCTCCCTTGATTATTTCTAAACTTTTCTCAGATTGAAAGATTACTCTTTTCCATGTCAGCCACTTACCTGTTTTCCTTCCTGTTACTGGAATGCCTACACGCATCTCATGTAATTCTGAATACACTGTCTATGGGCATAGCTTCTATAGTGCCAGTTTTGAAAAAATGCCCAACAGGAAACAACTTTGCATCTTAGATAGTAATCAGATAGCGAAGCAAGGACACTGGGTAGGATTTGTCATATTATTTTCCAAGAGCACAGGCTCTAGTGAGCGGCGTTTTCTCCTAAGATAGACATAACAAGATAGAAGGGAGATGTTCACATGGAAAATTCTTTTGTCACTGTCTTGCTCTTGGAAGAGTGCTATCTATTTCACAAAAAATATTGTACCAGTAATCTTAAGGTTTTCTTCATAGCATTTGCTCGGGATTTAGATAGGAGGTGCTTCTCCAGTGTCGTGCTGCATCTATTTACTCCAGCATGAAGCTGACCTACAGTGCTGCTAGGGGACCAGAAGGGCAGCATTCACACTCTCTTCTGTCTCACCAGGATAGCTGATTTTAAATAGCAGGGCTGGTATTGATTTTACTTGGGGGCGGGAAACCCAACCAATCTCTCTCTGTCACCACCTCAACTTTAGTATATATGTTTTGTACTTTTAAATACTTATTTGTAGCCACTGGATTCAGCTGAGACAAATCTGCACTGGGCTTGCTGTGTCCTTGCTGACACGGCAAATCAGGTAGCTGTCAGAGAACCAGAGGCAGCTTCTTGAAGCATTGCTTAGCTTCAGATGCAATAGCAGCTTGGGGACTGCCCTGGCTTGTGCTATCTAGTAATAATTCAGGGTCAGTGCATAAGGTCAAGCAACTTCTCCCTGTGCCAGATTTGTACTCTAATGGGAACTATGGGCCCTTTCTGTCAGCCATGGTGAAAAATCTAACTTGTTGGGCTCCTGGAAGAACTTAATTTTGGATTTTTCTATCTCTCATTTCCTCACAATCATAAAATGGAGGTAATTCAAACTGAGTTTGTGTGGATGAAAATAAATAGTACACCACAGCCCTTGAAATCAGATTATGGTGATGATCACTGTTCCTTACTGAAATGAAAGTCATTCTGACATTATCTTGCACTGCTGATTAAATGTTGTTGTGCGTGGGCAGGGAAGGACAGGTGTGGGCAGTGCTTCCTGCTCATTTTCCAGGCATAGCGAACGTTACCCTGCTTTCTTTCTTAGTGGTCTGTAGACTTAAAGGTTTCACCTGGCATCCTTAGGCAGAGGCAGTATAGCTTTGCACATCAACTCTATGCCCCATCCTCTCCATTTCATATGAAAGGAGTAATAGTACTATTTACTGTAATAATCATAAGAATACCCAGAAATGTATCTTGGTTTACAAATTTCTACCTTTACCAGCTCTCAGTGGATACCGAGGAACTGCAATAAAGAAAAATCAGGATGACTGTCACATCTAGTATGTGAAAGTTAGCTTGTCAGCAGCTTGACCCATCTGTATGTGTCTATGAGTTCATGCATGAGTTGTTTTTTACTGTAAACCATTGAGCATAAGACACTTGTGTGATACGATGAGTCTCCTTTCTGCTTCAGCTACTGTTTTATATGCTGTTATCTTGAAATAGCTGAAGTAAGAGCTTTCAGATACAGATAAACTGCCTGCAAAATTTTTGAAGGATTTGGTTGTTTGTTTGGTTTTTCATTTAAATAATTTTGAAGTTTACAGTGAGTCAAGAAGTTGATATTTTTAGGTCATAAAATAATAGATATTTTTAGATGTCATATAAAGATTAGTTTGTAGGGATTGACTTTAAAACTTTTAACTGGCATTTTAGAGTGGCATACTGGATAACTTGCTTAGGAAGCTTCTGTTATCTTTTCTGATATGTACCTCCTCTATTCATCTCCATACATTTGTCTCAGCTAGAAGAAAGTCATAAGCAATAGCATGTTAGTGTACTGTATAAAGGTATGGATTCAGTTAAAGTTGGTTGAATGTATGAAAAGATGTGCAAAGAATCTACTTGCTGGTTTATAGTCATAAAATAACATAGTTTGCTGAATTTTAAAAATGAACATTTTTCATGAGCACATATAAAATAGGTTTTAAGTACTTAATTCTTCTTGACTGGCTACGGAGCACTACTTTTGTAATCCTCTGACCTTCTTTGCTGTTTCACAGGAGTCACTGGCAAATTGGGTGGTTAGTCTTTCCGTTCACTCCTCACCTCTGTTATTTACCATAGATTTTAAGGGCTTGCAGAAGGTTCACCTGAGGTTTTCTAACACAGTAATATTTTTAGTACTAATAAGAGGCACCTTGCTCAGTGATCAGGAGCACAGAGGAGAGTAAGGTTAGCTCTGTTTTGTACCACGTTCACTTTCATACCGGCAACAACCTAAACTTATTCCATCTACTTGATTACCATTAGCACAGACATGGCTGAAAGCAAGAGTTAATGTCAAGAATATTAATATCTTTGGAAAAAGACTGAAGCAGAGGAAGGTCTTCTAATGGCCAGTTGAAATGTAAGTCTTAAAAGACTTACACCTGCATACCAGAAAACTACCAGCTGATTCTGACCATGACTTACTGGGAGTGGTTGGAAATGCCTTTCAGAGGTTTGTACTGCCAATGAACAAACCTCTATGTCTTTGTTAAGAAATGATGCAGTCATCTTTTCTTACAGAATTTCTTCCTTCACCTGACAGAAACATGCTCCTTACCACCAAAACCAGTATCTTCCTACTTCATAAAGTAGAAAAGAAGAAAGGTTTCACAAACTCTCTCTATACTGTAAAGAATCACCATTAATGGAACAGATGTAACCTCAAAATTGGCTTCTCTTTCTGTGGGGACAGGGATCCACTAAGTGTCTCCCAGAAGTATATTCTAACCCAAAGTGACTTTTGATTTTAAAACTGTTATTCACATTAGCTTCTGTGTCCTTTGTAATTATCTGACTTTTCTTACACTCTGATGAAAGCATGGCCTGAAAGTTAAGTCCCAGACCAGTGATTGCCATCTGTTTTCACAAGACATCCTGGTTTTCCTCAGCATGTTGTCAAGTATGATCTGAAACTCTGTTTTATAGGCAGTGCACTGTAATATTTCACTCAACTGTAATATGTAGTCACGTGGTAAAAAATAGCTGACACAGGTAAGTGGATCATGCAAACATTGTTAAAAGCTGACTTGAAAAAAACATTAATCAAGTTCAGATGTATTTACTTTTGACTTTTATGTTTACTGCCCTTTTTCTGCAGCTGAGGTTTTTTTTACTCACAACTATCTTTCCTTAATGGGCTTTTCCAAGTGTGAAGTATAATGTCTGTCATGCAAAATCTGTGTTAGAAACCACCTTATATAAGGTAATAAACCAAACCACAAGCAGTAGAAAGTTGATGAGTGGGTTTAAGTGCATTCCTTACACACATGTGTTTTTCAAGCACTGGGGGAAGATGATTACGTGAGTCTCAGCTGGTAAAGATACAGCTTTCCGTGGTGAGGTGGGGAATCCATCTAGTCAAAAATCTAGAGTTCTAGTTGCAATGGAAATGTTGCTAGCAAGAAGATTGCTATCATACTGGATGACTGCATTTGCATATGAGATCCAGCTTTTTTCACATAGCATGATAAGCATACTCTTCCCAGATCTAAAACAGATAATTGTCAATGTAAACAATGCCTCAGCTTGGCAACAACTATATCAAACTGCTAAGTTTACAAATGGTGAGATATCTCTTTCCACTTTGCATTCACAAGGCAGTAAAGCAAATCCTGGCAGAACAAAGAAGTTGGGCTTTATTGAAGATATATATAAACCTGAGAATGTCACTGAGAAAAGATAAGCTTTTGGTGGGAAAAGGGAACAGGGTAAAGTCAACAATTTTTGATTCAAGAGGAACTCAGAATTTCTGTGAGAATAGTAAAGTCAGATGAAGAACTGTCAGCTCAAGGAATTTCCTGGTTCATACAAAAACCCGTTAACTCCTGAGGGATGCTTTAGTACACCCCCATAATACTGCAGCTGTAGTCCATGGAGCTGTTTCAAACTGGTGAGAAAACTAAGGCAGCAAGACACTTAAAAATTTATTAAGTAAAAGCAACATATATAGACCTTCATGCAAAGTCTTTGATTTTTTTTTGTATATTTGCCATGCATATACCTCATACTTCTGAAGGGTTGTGAAATAAAATGTA